TATAAAAATTTATAATAAGTTCCGACTATGATACTTAGTAATGATTATACCCTTTAACTGCGAACTACCTCTTAATATACATTTCAAATATACACCTCTTAATATATCCAGAATCTGTAAAAGCCATAACACTACTAGGTGGAGCACTAGTTAGCAAGCCTGGAATCGTGCGAACACCTTTATAGATAAATAATGGTGGTATATAACTACCAGCAGTAGAAATCATTAGAGTAATGGATATGTGCTCATGTACATTACTATAAGCAATTTTGTGGACCTGATGAGTACCTTTTTTAGCAAGTATCTTTTGAACTCCAGAAGAAATAATGAACCCCATCTCATCCATATTCCATATACGATTTGCAGTAAGAGAATTTTTCTCAATTATTTTACTAAGCTTGTCAAAATAGTCTTTTATTATTGCAGGATTAGCTCGCTGTGCTCGTGCCTCTGATAATACCTGAGGTATTCGAAAAGAAAGTTCTGGATGCTCTCTTATAAAACATGCCCACTAGGCCTTACCAGGACCCTTCTTATTAAAAGGATTTTCATAGTTACTACTTTTTACAATCTCCATTACACAATGATTAACACCTAATCTTGTTAAACCAAATCCCAAATGTTGCATGTTCAGGCAGTAGCCTACAATTTGTGTTTCTTCATAGCTACTTAAGACAGGAGAATAGCCAGAACGCTTAAGCACACTATTATTCTTTACTGTACGTCTTAGTGTTGTCTTTGCAACCCTGAATTTTAAAGCAGTTGCACGTACACTAAAATGTTGAGGGCCGGCAAGTTCATTAAGAGCGGCTTTGATGGCTTTTTCATGAGTAACTCAATTAAATTTGGGTTTTTTAGATTTAGATTTTAATAAGGTTTTAGTTGTAGCTTGAGTTTTGGTTTTCATTTTTTTTATTTTTTGGGAGAAGATTTTTTTTTTTGTACCAGGTTTATTTGAAAAATAAAGACGAACATTCTTTAAATTATTTAAATAAAATCGCGTGGTTATTGTATTTAAATATAATCATGTGGTTATTGTGTTTAAATAATCGCGTGGTTATTGTGATTAAAAAAAACAAAGACAAAATAACAATTTTGAATAGAATAATTTGCTCATAAATTTAAAAAATAATCATACGAATTATCAAATAGGCTAACTGATCGAAGCGAAGCAATTAAATATTGCACATTTGTGTCTATTATTATTTTTATACTAGTTGATTATTATTTAACTAATACATTATTCCTTTTTTAGTTAGTATAATAATTAGAATTTTTAGCTGAAATTTATTAGCGCGCTATTTTTTTTTTTTAGTTGTTTTGAATCTAACAAAGCAACAAATAATTTATTGGATGAATCAAATACAATTGCAAATGTTTTTGAAGACTTTTATTTAATAAATAATAATAAATTATTGTTATACACGAGATTTACAATTATCGGGTATATGGTTGCATTTTCTATATAAACAATAGATTACATCTTTTAAAAAACACCCCACCCATCGAAGAATTTAATTAATCTACTACTATTCCTTAACATAATGCCGCCTAGACAATATAAAAAGAAAAATCTTATCAGGCAATGCAACCTATTACAAGACATAAAGAAATGAAAAAAGTGATCTATCATCAAATACTCATTACAAAACATGAAGAGGAAGAGGAAAAGAAGATCCATCATCAAATACCTATTACAAAATATAAAGAGAAAGAGAAAAAGAAAATCCATCATCAAATACTCGTTACAATGCATAAAGATATGGAAAAGTTGGTCTATTATCAAATACCTGAAATAGCAAAAGCTAAGGCAATGTTTGAAAGAGACAAACTTATTAAAAAAGAATCAGAAAAAGTTGTCTATATGCCACCCGGGTAGAAATTATTTTTGTAATTACAATACCAAATTCAAAAATTTATCAAATAAAATTATATAATAAATACAAACTATGCTGTTATAACTAGGGGTGTGAGTGCAATACCGTAATTTGTCATAATTATGGCATAATTACAACAAATTATAGCATTGTGCTCACACCTCTAGTCATAACTAAAGCCATATACTATAACTATATCCATATCTATGACTTATGAATTAACTGTTAATTACACCATAATGACTATATACTCATTTACAATTCACCTTGAAACCAAGCAAAAACTACAAAAAAAAAGTTTCTCAAAAAAAATTAAAAAAAAAATTACTAGACACTTTTAAATCTAGTTTTTACAAAAAATTAAGTTTAAACAAAAAGAAGAGCAAACTGGTACTTAAGTTATCATAGATCAGCTTAAAGTCTAATTCCCATGCCGGTCATTTTACTAATAAGTTTGCTTCTTTGAATTGTCGTTAAAACATCTACCCATTCGGGGTCAGTAATGTTTAGTGTTGAGTTCTCATTAAACTTAAACACAAAAATGTGTCAACAGCTAAAAAAAAAAAAAAACAACCAATCAGCAAATTAATTTGCGATAATCACAATACTGCAGTGAATCGTACAGTAATGTAGATCATTTTCTTTATCAAAGATTTATTTTACTATAAACAGGATTTTTACTAAGCAAGTCGCACCTCATCTACTAAATAAAGTTATTGAAAATACTGTTTTCTATATACTTTCAATTTTTGATGTGATTTGGTTAATTTTTCATTAATCAATTTTCACATTATTTAGTTGGTACAAGAAGCAAACTTTCTGCTCCAGAATGTATAATGTGAAAATCAATTAATAAAAAATTAGCCAAATTACATCAAAATTTGAACATATCTAGAAAACGGTATTTTCAATAACTTTATTTAGTAGACGAGGTTTGACTTGCTTAGTAAAAAATCCTGTTTTCTTGAGTTTTTTTCAGTGCACCAAATTACCCTCTGCGCTATTATAGCTCCGGTTACTTTATTGTAGCTTGTTTTAATCGTCATAATTTTCTAGATCTAATGGAGATAAAATCTCTGATATGTTCTATAATATTAACACATTCTATAACAGTATAAAACAAAAGGTATATTTAAATCTTAACTTATTTGACCCAGGTTATAAATTAGAAACCCACCTGTTTTGATCTAGATTACTTTATATAATCCATTTTAAATTTCTAGTAATTATAATATACAGTACAAATATGTATTCTTTAAAACACTAGCTAAAAATAACAAATGATAATATGTAAATAATTTAAAAACTAGCTAATCAGAGCTTTTAATATTATTTATTATCATGCTACAGTATTAAATAAATATGCTCTTGTCACATATAAAGACTAATTAGATCTCTTTTTTTTAAACGAGTACTTTGATAATACTTCATATAAGAATTGGTCAATTATTAGTACCTTATAATATATAGAATCAAAAACAAAACTATTTTTAGATACTATTGAAATTCTCAAAGCTAATTTGTATTCTTTATTGTAAAGTTTAAGTATAGGAGTCTATATATATGAGGATGCTAAAAAAAAAACAACAAAAATTTTGTCGATCTTTGACAAATTATTTTTTTTACCTAATATAAAACATTTTATTGATAAAGTTAAATTGAAAAATGAAAAAAAGAAATTTCATATAGTGATAAATTAAATCATTGTATTCACAAGCTTACTAAAAGCACTAGAGGTAAGTTATAAGCAAGCTTAAAAATAAAATTTAGTGATAGTAATAATCAAATTGGTCTTTAAAAAATATGAGTTATATATATAATATCACTTGTTGTAGTTGCAAGAATCTATTACAGATATATATATAATAAATGCAATTGCAGCTAGTTATGCTATCTACATGATCTGTATTTTCAATAATCTTGCTGACTGTTCTATTAAGAACATTGTATAGTCAGAATGACAATTAAAAGTATATACAATACAAATATGCAAGAAGCTACCTCTGCTGGTAGGGTTGTTAATGGAGTACTCTAGTCAATAGTAAAATATATAAACCACTCTAGAGTATTTCAGAAGTGGGTTATATGTTTTATTAATGTCTGGAGTACTCTATTAACAACCCTATCTGCTGGTAATATAGTTAAACTTATTTTATATTATATATCAAAGTTAACATTTTTAATATATTATAAAATTAGTAGGTTTGAAACAAAAATCTTTAGATTTATATGAGAACAAAAGAATAAAACTATATTTGTAGATAATAGCGATGACTTAAAAATAATTTTTTTCTGATATGTCTATATTAAGTGGTCTTTCCAATGTTTTGGATGCTTTGAAACTCTCTAGTCTGCCATACATTGAATTATTAAAAGAGTATATATATTATAAAAATGATAAATATAAAAATGAGTTCTTATCTGAGCTCATATTAGTCGAGGTTCATTGTTTGTTATTTTATTTAATGTTTTACTTTGCTATTTTATTAATATATTGTTTAAATTATAGAAAGTAGAAGATCTAATTATAACTAAACTTCTAAGCTATAATAAAAGTATTGCATGATACAAGATAATTTTTCTATCTAAAAGCAATGAAGAGAACTTTATAAAAAAAATTACTAACAATAGAAGAATAGACAGAATCTGAGAATTCTTGGAACTAGGTTTGTAAACTTAACTACATATATTTGATTTGTAGATTGTTAAAAATAATTTTTTTTTATAGATAAATGCCAAATTAATAACAAAACAAATACTACAAGATATTAAAAATATCCTAACAAAATATAATGAATTAATCAAGAATTTATTAACTAGATTTCATGTAAATATTAACAAAATAGCATTAATTGTAAATGAAAATCCTTTTTCAAGACAATGATTATAATTTTAGAAAAAATTGGCTTTTCCAGTGGGTTCAGAATATATACATTGCATTGTAAAAATATATTGATAAAGGATTTATTATCTTTTATTATTTTATTTACTATTAATATCTAATCTTTAATCAATATATTATAGTATAATATATTTTTATATACCAAAATTTTTTTATAACAAAGAGATTTCAGAATTTATATATTAAAATCATATTGTAAACTGTTCTTTTGAAGATATTTTTTTAGATTTTAATTCTATAATTTACAGTATATACAAATATAAATATTATATTTTTTTGTATTTTTCTAGTTTAATAAAACTAGTATATTACTATATAAATAGTAAAAAGATAGAAAACTTAGATAAAAAAAATTAAAAAGACCTTTTCAGAATATCAGAGCAATGAAGAGCTATATAATAGTCACATAATGCAGTATTGTTAATAAAGATTGCTAGTCTGATTTTCTAGTTAGTTGTAGTAAAGTAGTAGAAAACTCCTACTTTTATAACAATAATAAATTGCATAAGGATAAGAAAAAATTATTAAAAAATATATTTTTTAATTTTACTAATTTGTAAAAGTTATACTAATTTTTTTTTGTTTTTGATTTAAATAGTAATACAATTAGCTTTATTTAGATTGTAGCACTTTTTAACAAAAAAAGAAATTTAAGTACAAATGCTTGATTAGTTAGAGACTTTTGGAATAATAGTTTATAGTAAGTATTGTAAGTACTGTTTTGCTTTTTTATTTCAATCTTATTTAAACTGACTTATTTAGAAAGAGATTTTTGAATATATTCTATATACTGGGCTAATAGATGTTACTTAGTAAACCAAGTGGATGAGTTTGAATTCTAGATAATGCAGACCAAATAAATCAGTTATTAAGTATAATTAAAGTTATGCTAGCTTTTAGGATGATTTATATTGTATCTTTTAAAATATATAAAAATATATAAAGCTTTACTTATTACCTTTACTTCATGCCATTTGGATAGTTTTATATTAAGAAGCTTAAACTATATATTGAATCTATACTAAACCAAAAGCAAAAGAATTTTGAACATAGAAAAGTTGATAAAACTAGTGTAAGTGCTTTACCTGCAAAAAATTTCAATAAATGAGTTAATATATTTATTTTATTAACAGTTTATAATATTATAAATAAAATCAGTTTAAATTTTTTAACAAATTAAAATTTTATATAGTATGCAAAGTGTATCAAAATTTAGAATAATCAAAATGCTTAATATAACCTATTTGAATAAAAACTTATGACCAAATTTTATCCAAGATATTGGCCAGTACAAAAAGATAAATATCTCAAAATTTTAATTAAAAAGCACTACTGATAAAAGTTTTTAAATTATTAATAATATAATTAAAATTTTTTTTACAAGTTGGATAATTATGGTTTAGACTATCTTT